ACGTACCTTTCGTTCGTGCTCGTTTTGTTGGATTGCTTGTGATGGCTTTATCATCAACATCATCAAGTTTTACACTAGTACTGTTGCATAGAGTCAGTAAGTCTGTCTATTCACCAAGAGAGAAGACTATTGTTCTGAATGTTCACGATGCTCTGGTTTCTCAGAATCCCACAAACACTGTTCGCAAAATAGTCGAAAGTTGTGCCAACATGACTGGCGTAGGGGAGTCAACTATATATAGGTTCATATCAGAAAGAAAAAAACACGGTATAGCTAACCCAAACACAAACGAACACTTAGAGAGAGGGAAAAAGCCTATTGAAATTGATGAATTTGCCAAAAATGGTATTCGAAGGAAAATTCATGGATTTTTTGTCAAAAAATAAATACCAAACCTAAACAAAATTTTACATTACAAGAAATTAGAGACGACCCGGATTTGCCTCATATCAGATGAACTAAAATCCGGTGTCAGCTTTCGTGGAGGAGGAGCTCTGAACTGAGTAGGGGCTCTTCTGTACTTCACAGAAGACAGACTGGGCGGGAGATGTCCTCAACCTCGACACGGCAGGTTAGGGCTGATAGGGATCATATGGCTGATAGGGATAGTTCCTGCAGATATGCAGGACAGGTACGAATAAGGCATTGCCAAATAAGTACCCGCGGATCAACTGAGGATATGACATTAGGCTAAGACTGTAGGAAGTAAAAATCCTGTAGGCTTAATTCCAGATACTCACAGGCGTCACTCACATTATGAGTTAAGCGGCTGTGATACTGCGATGGGGAAGGCAACGGGAAACCACCATATTATGGTCACTAGTAAAGTTATCATAGCATCAATGAGTGTAACGAAGGAAAGGAATACACAATCAAACCACAGGGCTTCCCAGATCGCTAGCCAGCGAAATCCCTGTGAGCAAAACATCACCAGACATACGATGAAAATGAAGAATCCATATAAAATGGCTACATGGAATGTAACAACTTTATAAGAAGCCGGTAAGTTGAGGAATCTACTCTCTGAAATGGACAGACTAAACAGTCTGTCGATTTCAGACTGTTTAGTCTGAATGGTTACGCTGTTTATTTTTCTGAAAATCAAGATCATATGCATCGAAATAGAGTAGCAATAATTATCAAACAGCATATTAATAAGTATGTCACTAACTGCATCCCAATATTAGAGTAATTTTAATACAGCTGAATGCTAAACCTGTAAATATAAATATCATCCAAGTTTATGCTCCCACTGCTGACGCAGATGAGCAGAATATTGAAGAATTCTAAGATAAAATAGAAGAAGTGCTAAAAATAACAAAGAAACATTAAGCAATAATAATAATGGGTGACTTTAACGCTAAAGTTGGACAGAAGATGACGCAGGGCATCACCGGAAAGTTTGGCTTGGGAGAGAGAAATCAAAGAGGTGAACGTCTAATAGAATTCTGCCAAGAAAATGACTTCGCCATTACAAATACATATGATTTCAACTTCCAGAAAGGCGTCTGTACATGTGGAAATCTCCTCAAGATGGACATCAAGGTAGAATAGTATGGAACCAAATAGACTACATCCTAAGAAACCACCGATTTCGAAACAATATTAAAGATGTAAAAACTTACCCCGGCGCTGACATAAACTCAAATCACAATTTACTCTGCTCCTAAATACAAATTAAATTAAAGAAATTAACAAAGCCAACTAAGCCTTGTAAGACATATCTCGAACCCCTGAAAAACCCTCAAACTCGTGAACACATATCACAGCAGATAAATAGCAAAATACACAGAATATCAAATAAACCAAACGAAAAAACGTACATGAGTCTTTGAAAACACCTACCATGTTGGTAAAAAATGAGTGGATGACACAAGAAATTCTAGACCTGATGAAAGTTCGACGGCAACACAAAAATAGAAATATTATCGAATGCTGTGAAATCAATAAACGCACAAAAAGAAAAATTAAGCAAGCCAAAGAATCCTGGCTTGAGAATTTATGTAAATAAATAGAAGACCTCAAAAAAAAGTATGACAGTTTCAACCTCCACAAGAAACTTAAATATACTGCCGGAATTAGAAAACAGAAAAATGCTCACATACTTAAAAGCACGGACGGAAAAATTTGTGATCACGAACAACAGTGCAAAGAATGGGAGAGATACATCACTGACCTTTTTGACGATGCTTCTAGAGAAAATGCTCCAAATACTGCCTGTGACAACCAGTTAGACAGAGGTCCCAGTATACTGAATTCGGAAGTCAAAAAGGCAATACAGCAAGCCAAAAACAATAAAGCACCTGGACCAGATCAAATCCCTGCAGCAGCCTAAAGTTGAAAGAATACTGAGATTAGAAGATGGTTCTCGAACTTTGCTGTATATGGTGACCAGAAAGTCGTATACAGACAGATCAAGCTACTAGGATATATGGCGTGCTCTAACTAATTTGAAGAACATCGAAGGACATCAAGAATTTGGCCTTACCCAAGATAGGCCATGCCCTAGATAATCTAGATTGGAAGATTGTCAGAAGCATGCTTGAAGTGATCTTCCGAGAACCCGACGTAAGAATTTCTGTGTTGCATTAACCCAAAAAGATCGTGTCCTTCAAAGTCAGTAGACTGTTATTTCTTCTTGAGGGGGTCATGCAGAGCTGGAGAGGCCTGTAGATTCCGCCATCCAGGGCCTACATATGGAGTTGCTGATCGGGACGCTCAGATCTAAGAGGGGAGCAGTATTACGAACATGCATTCAGCGTGGCCCGTGTAACATTTGCATCTCGAAACAACATCTCAGGCTTCGAGAACATTCGCGATGTATGAGCACCAAACAACGAATTAGAAGTGGGACTACTCCAGAAGATTAGAGAATAATACTTTTTGGTATATATATATATATATATATATATATATATATATATATATATATATATATATATATATATATATGTTATGAGTTAGTTTAGTTGATAAGATAGTACCGAACTGTAAAGTTATAAATAAATATATTTATATAAATTCGAACCGCTCGTTTTATTTAATCTCGCTACAGTAATTATATAAGGTAAGTAATAGAATTTGTAATCGTAAGGTATTAAAGGGGAAAGGCGCAAAATGTCGCCTGTCAAAATGTTCAATGTGTTTTAAATGTATGCATTTTTTTCAAATCCTGAGAAAACTAAAAAGCATTTTTGAAAAATTTAAAGGCAGAATGAAATACTTATTAGATTAAAAAGTTTCTTTTGTATGCAATATTTTCAATTAAAAATTATACTATATTTTCTCTTTTATTTTCACCCCTGTTATATAACATATTAAAATAAACATTGTAGAAGTTTTCGGGGACTTTCTGCCCTCAGTAATACTGTAATCTTTCATTCTGCGTTTAAATTTCTCAAAAATATTTCTTAGTTTTCTCCGGATTTGAAAATAATGGATACATTTAAAACACATTGAAAATTTTGCCAGACATTTGGCGCCTTTCTCCTTAATTAAATAAATGTATCTTTTACAAATGGCAAGAAACTTTTTAATTTTGAATAAAATAAAGAAGTTTTATTAAAACAAAAATACAATTTAAAAAATATATTTATTTAGTTCAAATAAATGTTTAAATCATATACTCTACGACCTGGTCGGTCATCTGTAACCAAAATACCTTCGTAATCGGATTATAAGGTTGATTGCTGTATTATATTCCTTCAGATACAAGGTGGGTTAGTCGAAAACATCTTAAACCGTCAGTTTTAGGTTGGTTTTTACTATTATATCGTATTACCTATCCTCTCTGTATTTCAGTTCTCTAATTAGGGTTAAACTTGTAGTGAGCTATCGACAAATTGTGAACCGACTATAGACATGCGGTGTATCAGCTTTCGATTCTTTTGAACTGGATCGATTTACCGACAAACAACGGGATATCACGCGTTAGCTATAAATAGACAGTTTTGGCCTATCACAGGATCGTAAATTTCAAATATTGAGAAGAAATACGGTATTGCACGTTGTGTTTGTATTTTATCATTTTTAACCAGTCGTATCTTATAGGAAATTTAATTATTGCTATTTTATTTCATTACTATTTGCTCCAAAATGAATGGATTTAAAGGACTATGGACTATACTCAAGGAAAGTAGAAAAAAGCGATATTTTTAATAATTTTTTTAATATTTTGATTTTTTTTTTATTAATATTCTCGACCAATTTGAGAAGGAAGTCAATTATTTTTGAAGCTATCACACTTTGTCTGCAAAAATCAGAGTCCGCCACGCACATCCACCTCAAAACAAATCCGCCCTGGTCTAAAATTGTTTGTTACTTACTATTCCAAACAACTCTTCTTCAGTAGACGAGCATAAAGCCAAAGAATATAGACGCTTAAGCGTCTATATTTTTGATAAAGCCCTGTAGAACTAATTTAAATACACCAGAAAAAACGCAAAGTTAAACTAAAAGAAGAACAATTCAATAAAAGTATTAAGGATGAAATCATTAAATTAAAAACCAAAAAGATGTATAAATAGGTACATCCAGAATTTCCATTTTTCTTATTTTTTTTTTTTTCGCAAAACATAAAAATACTTTATCAACTTAAGAGATAAAAAATATCAACATTCCGAAAGTACAGAAAAATGTACAGATGGTACCGAACCACAGTATAGTGATTTAAAAAGAATTTTCTTAAAGCACTATACTGTGACCGAACTAAACAGAAAAATATTAAATATTTGTAAATTGTAATGAATCCTACGATTTATTGTAATTTTGTAAATATGAAAACAATTTGATGACTTTAAAAGAATGGACCATACTAGAAATAGAAAATCTCCAGCATTGGAAATTCCAAAAGTAAAAAAGAAAGTACAGATTGTAACGAAGATGGGAATATGTGATAAAAGAGAATCCGACGGTCGACAGAAAATCTTGATTTTTTTTTAAACTGCTTTACATGTTTCAGCATACCTAATCTAACTCTCTGATATCTATTTCGTACATACCTCTGTAAAATCTCGGTGCGACATGTTCGAAGCTGGAAATTTTTTTCGAAAATCATATTAGCCCACAACAATGTTTTCGAAGATAAGTACTTATTCCGCAGAAAAAAGTTCTCACAATGGTCACTTTACTAGACACCGTCCATATCTGCATTATTTAAACAAATGTTCCACTAAAATCACGACTTCATCCCGACATTAATATAAAAAACGCACATTCCAACAGCGAGAAAAAGAAACAAAACAGTCAACAAAGTTCTTAATTACGTTCCACATAAACACAATTAAAAACCATCCTAGTTAAATCCTCCAAACGTCAAATATGAAGAGTTTCTTGAACTCATGAATTTTTCGCCGATTTATCAAGTCGACAGATCACAAACAAGTGCACATCTCCTGGCTCTAACAGTAATTTCAATGCTCGTTTCGATATTTACTCTTTGCACGCATTCTTTAGCACTTCACGGCCATCTTTGAGATAGGAATGCAGGTAATGCCTTCGCAGGTGATTTGATTTAGTCAGTACGAGATCGGCTTTTGTCTTTTACCTGGGAGAAGAAAGAGACATGATGACGTGGTAAGCGTAAAACAGGTAGAGGTACCGCTACCAGGGGCATACCATCAATAATTGGTTATAGTACCAAATTCTGCTGGTAACGAACAGTACCGGGGTTGTGCGTAAAGTCGGTACTACCTATCATCACCAAAACAAGTTAAAATTATATCTTTCTTTTTATTGTAGACAATATTGCATATTTTTCTTTAATTCTTTGTTAGTTAATTGATATTATCACTCCGTTAGCTGGTCTTGTGCCACGTATCCATACATCGTTATTCTCCTGATATGCGAATATTTCCTATTCATTTATATTTTTGATTTTACATGTTTTATTATGTCGTTATTGCTATCCATATTCAATTACGCTTTTCAGCTATTCTGCATAATACCCTCATTTCTCTTTTCTCCGGCATTTAAATATTCAGTTCTACATATTTCGAGTGTTTTTATGTATTTGTTTTATAATTTTCCACTATTTAGCAAAATATACGTGATTTTGAAAAAGCTAGTAGAGTTTCTATTTATGATAATAACTCATTGGAATCTAGACAAATACCATTAAAAACCAACCTTGAAGCTGTAGCAGTAACCATAAAAACTCCCAAAATTATAAACATCTGTAACATTTTTTTTTTTTTTTTTCACCTGATACCGTTATAAGTATAAAAGAGATAATATTATTATAGATAAAATTCCATCGCCTAATATTATAATGCGAGATCTAAATGGACGCAATCTAATTTGGGGATAGAATAAATATAATAAAATAGGACACATAATAGAAACTGTCATTAATAATACCAATATTACTCTGCTTGACAATGGATCTTCAACAATATTTCATAATGGAAACATTACTTGTATTGACTTGAGTTGTATTTTGCAGACCCTTCTTTAGTACACAACATAACTTGGGAAGCTACTACACAATTGTATGGGAGCGATCATTTTCCCATTGGGATACATTTCGAAGACAAACAAGAAATTCAACCTTACAATAGATGGAATACAGAAATAGAGGATTGGTCACCGTATACACAATTTGTGGAGAATCAATTGAATATTTTTCAGATCCATCTTCGTATAGGAGTACCGTGGTGAAACAATCCCGTCAATATGGTATAAAGAAGATTCACAGAGCTTTCAATAGATACAAAAAATACAAAAAATCTTCTGGAATATAAGAACTTAAGAACTATTAGTAGAAAAGTGGTAAAAGAAGCCAAAAAGGAATTGTGAAAAAAATTGTATCTAAAACTCTGCAATAAGATATTTAGAATATAATAACAAAATTCATACATCTAGATTAAAGATAGCCAGATTTGAGATCCTATGAATCATATTCAAGTAATGAAAACTTTTCTCAAAAGTTTTTACAGTTTAAAACTAATGAAAAAAGAATTAGTCGAATCTAATTATGATAAAAGTGATAGCCTACCAATTAATGCACCAATACTAGAAGAACAGTTTTTCTAAGAGAGAGAGTACTAAATCTATAAATTCTATGAAAAACTCTGGTCCTTGTCCAGATGATATTCCTATTTTTTTCCTTAAAAATTTGCCTAAAAATGGAACTGCCTATTTACTAAAGATATATAACAAAATATGGCTTGAAGGATTGTTTACAACGACTTGGAATAATAGGTAAAGTTTATTGTTTACACAATACATATCCTTAAACCTGGTAAACCACTTCTTCTTCTTCTTCTTTGAGTGCCTCTCCGATAGGAGATATCATTAGATTGGATATCATTATGGCGATTCTAATTTTGTTTACTGCTGTTTTGAATAATTCGTTAGTGGTACAGCCAAACCACTCTCTTAAATTTCTCATCCAGAACATTCTTCTACGGCCTGGATTTCTGCGTCCTTGGATTTTTTTTTACGTGGTAAACCACGTTCAGACCCAAACTCCTACCGTTCAGTATCGTTAGGACGTGTAATGAGCAAAATGCTTGAAAAATTAATCAACCAACGCTTCATTTGGATACTCGAGCAACGATCTGTACTATTTAACAACAAAGTGGATTTTGTAAAGATAGATCAACTCTAGACAACTTAGTTGACCTCGAGTCGGCAATACATAAGCACTAGCAAATAATCAAAGCAGCATAGCGGTATTTTTTTCTATAACCAGTTCTTTTGATACAGTTTTGCGCCATGGAATAATTAAAACTTTACAGAAATTAACTATACAAGAAAATATTCTAAACTTCATCACTAACTTTTTAAAAAACCGAAGCTTCCAAGCAAAAGTACACGATTTCAGTTCCAAAACAGGAATACAGGGAATTAGTGCCCATTAAGGATCATCGATTAGTATTACTCTTTTTCTCATTGCTGTTAACAGTATTATGAAAAATGATACTCAACCAGTAGGCTATACGCAGATGATCTCATAATTTATTGTAAAGGAAGAAACATAGAACTAATTAAACAAACTTTACAAGATACTATTTCTGCATTAGAAAAATGGTCAATGAAATCTGGAATGAAATTTTGTTCCAACAAAAGTAAATGTATCCATTTTACCAGAAAACGTAATGTTAGTAGTCCAGAACTTACAATTTTTAATAAAAAAATATTGAACTGTCTTTATAAATCTAATTTATTGACTTTATTTATTATAAAATGTTCTACACTATTTAAGACATTCACACCGGTTACAATTTAAATAGCCGCGGGAACAATTTAATATCGACTCTTGTTTCAGACTGTCCCTTTAAATCTCAAATCGTCCGTTTTTATACCTGATTTGTTTATCTAGAAGCTTCTGTGTGCTTCTTTGACCTTCGGTCGAAACGCCAACGAATTATTCGACCCTCACCCAAACAGCACAGTACGTTTTGAATACGTACATATTTGGTACTGTACGTACAGTACGTACAGAAGAGTATGTACCACAGTATAAATAACTCTATACCTACTGTGTATATACTGTATATATGTTAGGTTATGTTAACCTAACCTAATTTATTTGGTTAGCAATTTTCCACCTCGAGTACAGTTTTGATGTGATAATTCATTGCAAGACAGTTTCATTTAGATTTTTTTTTCACTTATTTTTGTTGTTGATGCTTATAGTGTGGTTTCCTGTTATTTTATTCAGTCGAGTGTTTTTTAGTCAAAAATGTAGTGATAAGAAGGTGGCGGAGCAAGAAATTGGACAATGGTTGATGAGAGCCGGGGATCGTTTAAAAACTTTCTAGGAAAAGGAATAAGAATAAAAATTGAATTTATTTAAAAAAAATAATAAAGATATATTCATCTATATTTACATAAAGCATCATAAATGTGTATAGTATGTATATAATATGTATATATAGTATGTACTAGGTACATACCTTCAATATGTACTAGGGTACTAGGTATGTACCATCAATTGGAAAATGTACGTCTTATGTACGTATTAAGTACGTACTTCGTACAGCAAAGTACGTACATTATACATACTTTATGTCCCATCAGTACGTACTTAGTTTGTCTTATGTACGTACTTGTGCTTACTGGGCATCTGGAAAGTTCCAATCGCAGGTATAAGAGGGGACCCGTGGGTATTACTTGCTACGGCTTCTAAAAATACTTGTTCAAAAATATGTTTACAGCTTAGGCTAAGAGTTACATTTATCGTAACATTGCCCCCCCCCCCCTATTAAAAGATGGTTCTTCCCGGAACCTTGTCGGGACTGGAACTGGAACGGTATGCTGGTATCGGCAACCGGGCCCTCTTTTACTACTTCCAGTTGTATAAAAATGACAAGGGGCGGTTTTCTCTCCGCACCAGGAACTATGCGGATTGCAACAGACTAACACCTGGACTTCGGTGTCTTTAAAGATCTCCTCCACGATACTTTGGATAACCCCCCAATCTAATTGGCGACACTCCAACTTTGGCATGGCTAATTTTGCAAAAAGGTAGCTGACTCCTATTCGAGGGTGGCGGATAAGACATTAACCAGCATCTTGTGACGAGCTAATAGCAGTGTTTTCTGCAATCTCGTACTAATCTGGCAATATCTACCTCATATTCTTGAAGAGCCTCATCTCTCTTTTGTCTTCGATTTTTAAGCTGCGACTGATATACATGCTCCAAATGTTCGTGGCCATATCGCATATTTAACCTCTTCTTAACTTGTTCGAAATCATCCGTCTCCTCTACGGCTATGGTCTAAAGCACATCAGACCATCCATTCGCTCTTGCAGCTGATTCGAACTGTTTCATGTAGTTGTTCCATGACGATTTTCCGTCGAAAGTTGGGACTTAATATAAACAGAACCTACACTTCTTTCAAATTTCGGCCGTGTTTCCAACTTACATTTCGTCTCGTCTTCTTTTGTCTCTACTGTAATTGGATTGTTTACTCTCTGTAACTCTATGCTTACCCTGTTTTCTTTATCTTCCTTTCCATCTCTTTCATCTTTTCTTCGAAAGCCAACATATCGGCAGCAACTTGGTTTTTAACGAAGATATTCTATCGTCGAGGCAGACATCTCAGAAGTGACTTTAGAGATTTCCAAAGAGATGTTAGAAGAAACTTTGCTTTCCAGAGAAGAAATTTCGTTAGAAACTTTGTTTTCTAAAGAAGCGATGTCGCCGGAAACTTTCGAAATATCGCCAAAAACTTTGTTCTCTAATGATCCTATGTCACCAACTTTGGCCACATCACCAGAAACTTTGGCCACACGACCAGAAACTTTGGCCACATCAGAAGAAACTTTCGAAAACGACGAGATGACAGCAGCATGTTTGTCTTCAGATATATAAGTTTCCGGGTCCAAACCCTCTTCCTCCAAAGCATTCTTTAGTCGTTGGACTAAATCAGCTTTTTTTCCGGTAGAAGCTAATTCTCTGTCCTCGAGATGTCATTTTAAATTCGTAACTGTGAGCTCATAAATCGTATAAATCGTAGTCATTTTCATAATTTATTTAAAATATATTCCACTCTGACACCACTGAACTGT